AGCAGCAACAATAACAGTCAAGAACGGGACCATACCGGATCTTTCAGCCCCAAATACGCCCATGTCATCCAGAATGTCCACCAATTCTTTTTCCCCGGCGGCTTCGAATTTTCGTCCCTCCCTCCATCACAGCCTTCAGACCCTCCAATGGTCAGGGAACCCTATCTTCACAGAGAGTCCCATCAGTGATCTCAAAATGCAAACAGGATGGCTCGGCTGCTGCCTGGTGCTCTGGTGCCTAGGATGCAGCCCACATCATAGAACTTCTCAGTCTTCCTAATGAGGGTGAGATGCCCTGCTCTTCCTCTTACCGGCGGTAACAGGACCTTCACCATAAACTCTCCGCTGGGACAGTGCTCTTCAGCCCCTGTGCTGGCCCCAGTGTAGGGCTATGTAACCTGATCAGCATGACAAACCAAGGCTTTGCAGTTTGTAGTCTAAGAGACAGCCTTGGATCCTAAGACAGGTTGTGCATTTGTCTGGCCAACGTACTAATAAATGCCACATCATTTAGTGGGGCAAAAAGAAGGTAACATCAGCTAGTGGGGAGCTGAATAGTAGAATGCTTCCCCAACATCGGTGAGGCCCTGGGTTTGATCCCTTGTGCACACACACACATACACACACACACACACACACACACACACACACACACACACACACACACACCAGCATCCTGGAAGAAAGCATACAGGAACAGTTTATGACTTTGCCTTCTCAGATAATTCTTCAGCATGGCACTAGAAGATGATATAACCAAAGAAAAAACGGACAAGTGAGTGTGCATCAGAATTAAAACCTTCTACACCACAAACACCACAATGAAACAACAAACTATAGAATGGGAAAAAATATTTGCACACCAAAAATCTCATAAGGGGCTAATACTCAAAGATATAAAGAATTCCAATAATTTAACTACAAATAAAAACCATGAACAAACCTTTAGGATGGACAAAAGCATGCAGAGACATCTTTTTCATTAACAATACACAAATGGCCAGCGGGTGTGTGGGAAAACTCAGTATGATCGCTAATCATGGTGAAAATGTGAATGAAAGTCACAGTGAGAGAACACCTCACACCTATTAGGTGACTACTATAAAAACAGTGACAGAGACAGAAAACAGGAAATAGCAATTATAGGCGAGGATGTAGTCACAAAGTCCCTCTGCACCATGTGTAATAAGGCAGGCACAACCAAAATTCAGAGGTGCCTCAAAAACTTGAAAACAGAGGCTGTGGTGATGGCTCAATGCGTACAGGTATTTGTTGTGCAGGTCTGAGGACCTGAGTTCAAATTCCAGCACCCTCATTTCAAAAAGCTGGGTGTAGCTGCACGCACACCTATAACCCTATTGTTGTGGGCTGGAGTGGAGACAGGAGGATTCCTGAGACTTGCTGACTGCCAGGACAGCTCTAAGTTCAGTGAAATACCCGAGCGATCAGAATACTCAATATCCTCTGACCTCCACCTGTATGCACATGGGCATGAACACCAGTATACATATATGCTATACACACATACAACACACACACACACACACACACACACACACACACACACACACACACACACACACACACACACACCCTAAAAGCAAAACCACTTAAAAATACAGCTAACATATGATGCAAAAATCAGACTTCCAGTTTATTTATCCAAAAGTACTGAAGTCAGGATTTCCAAGAGAAACCTACACTCCCACAATTATTGTAGCATTCTTCACAATGATCATGATGTAGAAACAGCCTACATGTCCACTGATGGGTGAATATATCAATAAAAGATGACATATGTGTATGTGAGTACTATGCAACCCTGAAAAGGAAGGAAATCCTGTCAATGAACTACAGCATGGATGAACCACAAAAGCATTCCACTAGACAAAATAACCTAGTCACAGGAGAACAACGACTACAGGACCCTACTTACATAAAGTATCTAACACCTCAAACGCATAAAAAGCAGAAAGTGCAATAGTGACTTGTAGGGCTGGGGGTGGGGATGGACCGTTCCTGGTCAAGGCATAAAAATATTCAGTCATGTAAGATGGAAAGGTTCTAAACAGGTAGTATTTATGTTGCATTTCTGTTGTTTTTAAAAATGTGTGTGTGTGTGTGTGTGTGTGTGTGTGTGTGTGTGTGTGTGCCATGTATACACGTGGTGCCCATGGAAGCCAGAGAGGGTATAGGATCCCTTGGAGCTGAAGTCATAGGCCATTGTGAGCCACCCAATGTGGGTGCTAGAAATTCAGGTCCTCTGTAAAAGCAGCAAGCACTCCCCCACACCCCAACACACACACACACACACACACACACACACACACACACACACACACACGGTAAAACAGGGTTTCTCCGTAAGCCATGGCTGCCCTGGAACTCTCTCTGTAGACCAGGCTAGCCTTGAATTTAGAGATCCGCCTGCCTCCACCTCCTGGGATTAAACGTGCGCACCACCATGGTCCAGATACAGTAGCCAGTGTTCTTAATTGCACCTGTGGCTTGGCCAGACTCTGTTGCCTCAGCATCCCCGGAGCTCCCTGATCTCTATAGCTGCAGGCTTAGAGCAGCTGGAGCGGCTCCAAGAGATCACTCCTGTACAGTCCGCATACTGAAATTTACATCTGCTTCCTCTTTCCCCTCCTAAGCCTGTCTACACGTTTATGAACATTATCTTTCAAATATCAGCTTTTGGTTTTAGTAACTTTTCCTGCTTTTCATGTCAGTTCTACTTCTGCTTTGCTGGGGTGGGGTTTTAATTTGCTCTTCTGTTTCTTTTCTTAAGGTGTTGTCTTAGAACATTGGTCTAAGACCTTTTTCTTTTCTAATACGAGCATTCAATGCCGCACGTGATTCTCTAAGTCCTAGAGTCGAGGATCTGCTGTGGCTTAGTTCCACACGCTTTAATGTAGTGTGTTATCATTGACATTCCAACTCAAGAGAGTTTTTGATTTTCTTATATTCCTTTATCTGACTCATGAATTATTCAGAAACATGGTGTTTAATTTCCAAATATTTTAAAGCTATCCAGACATCATTGCTGATTTCTAGCGTGATCCATTGTGATCAGAGAACATCGTTTGACATTATTTATTTATTTATTTATTTATTTATTTATTTATTTATTTATTTATTTTGTAGGGGAGGGGCGAGCTCATGCCACAGTGCCTGGGAGGTCAGAGGCCAACTTGTCAGAATCAGTTTCTCCTTCCGTTATGTGGGTCCTAGGGACCAAAGCCAGACCGTCAGGTCTAGGTGCAGGCGCTTTTAATCACTGAGCTATCTCCCCAGTCCAAGGAACATAGTCGAAATGTTCCCAATTATTCACATTTGTTGATGTCTGAATATGAGCTAACTTGAAAAGGAGGTGTATTCTGCTGGGCGTTTGGATTCTACCCTTGAAAAGGAGTGTATTTTGCTGGGTGGGTGTTTGTTTGTTTATGTGGAACACTCTCCAAAAAACACTCAGGGCAAGCTGATAGTTAAGGATACTTAGGGTTTCTGTATTTCTGCTGATGTTCTGCCTGCTCATTCTGTGAATACTAAAAGAGAGGTCAACAACTTCAATTAAAGGGTTTATCTCTTTGAATGATGGCACTTTGCGGCGTGCTAGCGCATTCATAGTTATGGCTGTCGTGACGTCATGATTAATCGATCCTTATTGATTTTGCGAAGTCCTTTGATTCCTTCTTTATTATCCTTATCTCTCACCACTTCCTCTTTCACGAGGGCCACTGTCCCCAACATGTGCTTGTACACACGCACACATGCCCGCATGCACACACACCCACACACCCGCCCCTGTAATAACCAGCACGGTTACTTCCCAGTCCCGGGACAATGAGCATTCGTGTGCCAGATGTCTTTTCACGTGCCGTTCTTTCCTTAGCACATCCACCTCCCCCGTCTCCTTTACCAGCTTTGACTTTCCCTCTAGGTCTGTTCCAGTCGCGTTTCTCCTCAGAAATGTCACATAATTCCCCCTTTTCTCTTTGGCACTAAACACACCCTATTACTTTCCTCTCTCCATCTCCCACTGCACTCTACTCTCTCAGAGCACTGGGGCTGCTCTCCTTCTCTGTCTTCTTAGCACTGAATTCCCATCATTGCTAAATCCAGTCGTCTCTAGCTTATTCAGAGAAAAAATTGCAGGCAGGCAGGAAGAAGAAGTCACTGGAACAGCAGGATTCTCCTTCTGCCCTCCTGACTCTCAGCCCACTGCAATGGCCGTGGCTCCTTCCAGAGTGTGCCTAGTGATCGCAAAGCCTTCCTGTCGTGTAGGACACTCTAGGACCTAGACTCAGAGGGTATCAGATGTTTCTCTTCACCCTGTCACCGGTTTTTTTCTCATGTCTTAAGTGGATTAAGCAATATCCAAATCAAACCAATTCAGGAGAACCAGATGGAGACCAGAGGAATTAAATTTTGTAATCTGAGCAATGATACCCAACACACCTACACACATATCATTAAACCTTGGTGCTAAAAGTCACTGTCAGACCCATTTAGCCAAAACCCTACTAATGTCTCCCACCCATCAGTTCTTCATGTTAATGTAACTTCCCGCACTTCCAAATTTACTTATGGCACAGGACAAGCCCCGAATTACCGTTCCTTTTCTGAAATCTAAAGCCCCTTATTTAAAAACCAGCATCATCTGATACCAACAGCTTCTCAGTAGTTGTTATGCTTTAAATTTAAATTCTCCACCCTCAGTCAAGCGGTGGTGGCACATGTCTTTAATCCAGAACTCAGGAGGCACAGACATGTGGATCTCTGTGAGTTCGAGGCCAGCCTGGTCTACAGAGTGAGTTCCAGGACAGCCAGGGCTATGCAGAGAAACCCTTTCTTGAAAAACCAAAAATATTCTCCATCCTTTTACTCAAATAAAAAAATTAATGGTTTTTGTAAAACACTGTCAAATTTTCTTTAAAGAAAAAACGACAAAAAAGCAAATTGTGTTTCTTAAACATTATAATTACCAAGACTTACAACACAATTAAAAAGTACATGTTACTGGAGATGTACTCAATGACAGAGTTGTTGTTCAGCAAGGCCCCCTGGCCTTTATTCCCAATACAAGGTGGGGTGTGTGTGTAGCTTAACTTTACTGGAAGAATCTTTTAGAAACAGTAATGGGCTAGGAGTGTGGTTCAGCAGTAGAATATTAGCCTAGTGAATATCCCCAATACTACAGAAAGCAGGGAGGTGGGGGTAATAATGCCATGATGCTGAAGGAGTGATTGACACTATTATATAGATATAGCTATATATGCACACATATCACACTAAATGGAGTGATGTATATACAAATATATCACATACACACATATACATACAATAAATATATATATAGAACATTCTTAGTGAATATTAATAATAATGCCATACTGATGTAGCATAGTATATACTCCTTGTTTAAAAAAAATGTATGGAAAACTGAAATGAGACCAGAGACAGACAGCTGGCTCTTTTATATCAATCTTAAGAGCCCAAAACATTGGCAACTAAACTCACCTTTTTAAAAGATTGAAATGAAAAAAGTATGCTAAATGAAAATGTTGAACCCTGAAATTCTCCATGTTTTAGTTATTTTTAAGTTATTATTCATACATAACATTAACCAAATAGCTACTGTTTTCTAACAAGGAACTGTTAATATGTGTGACCAGACCACTGAGTTCAACAAACGTGAGGCTCAACGGGTGGTTCTCGTGTATTTTAGATGTGAGGCATCACACAGTGTATGTCACCACCCTAGACTTAGGAAAGCTAGTCACATCCTGGCCAAGTAGGTTGCATGATAAACAGATCTTAAACAGAAACGGCCAGTGGCAGGCAGACGCAGAAGCCAGCTGGCTTTCTTTAGCCCCATCCCAGTTTCAGCTGCAGGTTTTTTCCAGAAAGAACAGAAGTTTGATTTACTCAACATTCTGCAGAAGTCAGGGGTGTGGTAATAACTCACTGCTAATGGGTTTTCCCTTAATTCTTGTAGCAACAGGACCTTAAAGTGGCTACTGACAGGGAAAAAAAAAAGGTGAAATTAAGGTCAAAACAGGAGTTTACAACATCAAAACAGAAACAGCTGTTGAGACCACCTAGTGGCAACAAGGGCGGCAGTATTTTTTGTGTTATTGCTAAGGCACAAAGTAGGAACGTCTTCCAGACTTTGAGCCGAAAGCAACTGCAATCTGGCTTTACCAACTCTGCTATTAAATGCTGGCAAGCTCATCCCCAAGTTATTCTGATACACAAATCACCACTGATGTAGGCCAATCTTGTTTACAATCTTATTCATTAGAAAGTGTGAATCGGGAGAAACATCCATGAACTGTTCACTGGGCTTTTTTTTTTTTTAAGCAGAGGTTGGACTAGAGATTCGAAAGCCAGGCTGAGAAGCTTTGCTAAGGCAGGGATCAACGGGAGTGTGCTTAATGAGTAACTGCATTCCTTCTTGGCTAGCCAGCATCGTGGAAACTGAGCCCGCTCTGCGCTGTGCACGCCCAGCTTGCGAGGTCTGTTTCCATTTCTCCAGACCAGGCTGCACTCAGATGATCAGCTGTCTCCAAACCCTCTGTGCGGCCGGAAGCCTGTAGCTTGGGGTTAGGAGCCCATTCTGTGCCAGGGACGACAGGAAGTACGTCAAAGACCTCGCCTCTTCTCATGACCTTTGTAGCCAATATGTCGTCCGGTGAGGACTCTGAGGTCAAGCCTGCTCACGGCCCACTCCTGAGCGCCAGCACCTAACTTGCACAGTGCTGGCGCTAGGCACCAGAACCTCAGGATCAGGACATGGCCGAGCATCCTAAATACTCACTAGACATGGAATGAATGTAATGTGACATGACTTGTGTTTCCTTCTTGGCCACTTTCAGGCCTCATTCCCTCAAGACAACTGAGGAAACTAAGGCCCCAGATCAAGTGACTTGGCGAAAGTCACAAGGCAGACAGCAGACAGGAATGAGCCTGGAAAGGTCTCTTTGAGTCTCTCCATGCTCCCAAATAGTAATGCTGTCCAAAGCCTCTCTGCCTCACAGTCAAGGTTCCCAGCGGAAAAAGCCTAGGGGCTCCCATCCCCAATCACTTTCCGGTCAGCAGCTCCCAGCAGGGCAGGGCGACCCCACCCTCCCGCCAGCTGCAAGGCACAGCGCCAAGCCAGGCGCACACTGACTGTTCCCAGGCACTCCCTCGCCCCAGCCCCGCTACACCCGTCTGCGAACTGCCAAGGGCAAGCAGGTAAACAGCTCACGTGGGCCCCTGCTGGGCCAGCCAGCTCAGACGTTGTCACCACGCCCTCCAGGGCACGCCCCCGGGAGCACTCTGAGACCCCCCCTCTCCTGATCCAGATCCAGCAGAGTAGGCTCCAGTGTGGGCTTGTAGGGATTTGAGGAAGTACGTGGGTGGTGGGTGCCTTTGAGGCAGCAGCGCACGCAGATAGCTCTGGTATAAAGGAGGGGGTGTCTAGGTCGGCAACATTAGCAGAGAGGGCGTTTCTGCAGAAAAGGAAGTGGGTGTCAAAAGCCGCACACACATTGCCCCGTGGGAGTCTTATGAGAGAAGTCGTCAGGACCTGCTGCAGCCTCCCACTTCATGGCTGCATGCACAACACACTCAAGTCCGGGTTGTCACAATTCCTGGGACTTCTCAACATGCGACAGCCAGTAATGATGAGCATCCACTGTGTGGGGACCCCCTGGCCAAGCTTCCTGTGGTCCTGTTAGGCCTTGCTGACTCATAGGCCAGGCTCCTCCTGTGTCTGAACACTGACACGTCTCCCCTTACCTCAATCTAACTTAAGGTATGTTCATGCAGTTTCTAGAACACTCCAGACTGCTTTGATCTATTCAAAATTCCAATCTTAGTCATCTGGTGCATTCTTATTCCACAGACACTCTATAAAGCTTGTTCCTTAGGAACAGGAAGTTTTTCTTGGTTTGGTTTCTGACATGGTCTCATGTAGTCCAGGCTGGTTTTGAACTTGCTAAGTAGCTGAGACTGATGTTAAACTCCTGATTCCCTTGCTTCCAGCTGACAAGTGCAAAGTGCTGGGATTACAGACCAGCGCTACCACACCCCACCTTTTTTTGTTTTTGACATTAAATTGAACACAGCCAGTGGCATTTAGTAAGGTGAGGCTTTCCTGGGAAAGGATTTAGACCAACAAGTGTCCCACATTCATCTCATCTGGTAGCATGGAGTTTTGCTTGATTGTCAGTTTCTGAACAATTTTGTTGTTATATCTGGGTATACATACCCCAAAATTTCATTTTCTTCCTTTAAAAAAACAAACAGGAGATTAAACCCAAGTCTCAAGTCCTTACACATGCCACCAAAATACTCTACCACTGAGCTGTGTGTCACCATTCCTAATTTTTGTCTCGGCACTCCAGAAGCTCCACCACTGCTTTATTCCGTCTCGTCTTGTGGGACTAGTTCTACTGAATCCTGTAGTCAGAGGGCGTGCAGGGGAGAAGGAAGGACTGCAGAGCAAGAACGGAACAGATTTCAGAAAAGCCTTCACCGCCTTCTTTGCACCTCTAGTACCCTCCCTTACACACACACACCACATACACACACCACACACACCACACACACACCACACACACCACACACACCACACACACATCACACACACCACACACACACCACACATACACCACACACACACACCACACCACACACACACACACACACACACCACACACACCACTCACACCACACACATCACACACACACACACCACATACACACCACACACACACCACACACACCATACACCACACACCACACACACACCACACACACACCACACACACACCACACACACACTCACACCACACACACACCACACACACACACACACACACACACCCTGAGGTTTCAGAACTGGCTGACTGCTCAGGGATTGGTTTGATTCACCTCTTAATTCTTAACATGTAAATCGGGATATGGTTGCTTAGGCCTGTAATCCCAGCACTTAGGAAGGGAGGCATCCATTCAAGGTCAGCCTGAGCTGCACACTACAGTGTCAGCTAGACACTGTCTCAAGAACAAACAGCTAAAAGAATGTCTTTCCTTAATTTGCATAGATTATGGTGTTTTGTTTTGTTTTGATGAAGATAAAGGTTGTTTTTCTCGGTAGACCAGGCTAGCCTCGAACTCATTAACCTTCTGCCTCAGCTTTCCAAGTGTGGGATTGCAGGACTGCATGTCACTGAAATTTTGATAGCCTAGTCGCATTGGAAATGGAGTGAAAAAGGAGGAAGACTGTGGTTTGGGGAGATTTGGAGGAGATCCAGTAAGAACTTGTAGAAAGAATAAGGAAAAAACAAAACAAGTCAACAAACAAAAACCCCACCCAGTCTACCAGCTAGTCTATAATAATTGCAGTAAGTTTAGTTCTTGGCATAGAGGATTTGTGTATTATTTATCCCGTGTCCTCATTTGGGGAGCAATTTTAGTTATAGAGGGTCCAAGAGATCCTGCAATAGAATAGGAAGGGCTTAGGAACGAGGTGGTAGTTTAGTGCCCAAACAAAATCTCCTAGGATCTGGTGGATCTTGGTTCACATTGTTTTGGTTCTCCACCATACAGGTGAAACTAGTTAGAGCCAGGCATACACGAGCCTGCCAGGACCTGGGGCTTGGTGCTGAAATTCCAGGAGTAGGTGCAACCAGAAAAGTCTTGAATGCTATACCTTCCTTAGATCCACAGACCTGAAGGTTCCGGGTCACTTACTAAACCTTGAGAAAGAGACCTCAAACTGAAAATCACCAACACAGCAAAAGACAGTTCCCTTCAAATGACGTTTTATAGAATGCTGCCTGAAAGAATTATACATTTCAAGGTTATAAAACACATGAAGATTATTAAAAACAAAAAAGAGCTATTTCAATAATCTTAGAAGGCTTATCTTGTAGTGGGCTTCTATAACTTACATAAACCAGCCTCCAGGATTTTTGCAATGCTCTAAAGCTCTCAGGCCCTGTAAAAGAGAGCAAAACAGAATGAGACTGTATGTTGGGTTCCTATCCTGCGAGGCTGAAGAAGACTTGGGTACAGCAGCCTCCAAGTCTGGAAGGTGGATAAGAAGCTAAGGTCATGACCCATGAGGCTGTCACTCAGGTCCACCGCTCAATGTTAAACAATGGCTCAGACTAACCACCACCCAGAAGGACATGAATGAGTATTTCATCCATCCAGCACCTGGTGATAACCTCTCTTTTCCATGCTCCTAAGCTCATGTATCTCTCCCTTGATTATCGCCCTAACTTCTAGAACAGGGCAGGCTCTTATGGCACGTTCTCAGCTGCCATTCTCCTCAATTATCATTTAAGCCAATCTCACATAGCTGAAGGCAGTCCCAGGCTAGAACCACTCTCCTGGGCCAGGCCTAGTGGCACACTTCTGGTATCTCAACTCTTGGGAGGCTGAGGTAGGAGGGTGGAGAGTTTTAAACTACCCTGGGCTGCGCAGTGAGCTCCGGGCCAGCCTGTGGTACAAAAGCAGGCCCTGCTTGGGGAGGAGGGGGTGCTGAAGGAAAAAAAAAAATCATTCTCTTACCAGGCTTGGGAGCTATAATCCCAGAACTCAGGAGGCTGAGGCAGGATTGCCATGAGTTCAAGACCAGCTCAGGCTACAGTGTGAGTTGTCTGTGAAAACAACAATACCATCCTTCCCTCCCTATTCCGGACCAACTGTTCTTCCTACCTGCCTCCGGAGCGGCCATCATCAGTTTCTTGTCATCCTGTGTATGAATATAACACACCACTCCTCCAGATCCAGCAACACTTTTCTCACCCCTTGGCTTGATCGGTGACCTCATCGGACCAACGGGGTGCAGGAAAAATGAGGTTCAGAGGCTGCCTTGCTCGGACTTTTAAGAGATCTGGCCGCAGGAGCATGAAGACCTGTGTTCAGTCCCTAGAGCCCCACATCTTAGAAGTGGAGAGAGTGGCTAGTGAAAGAGGTCAGAAGCCAAGAAAGCGCACATGATGTGCTTGCAGAGGACCTGGGTTGGCTTCCAAGCACCTGGTGGCTCACAATCCAAACTAGGGGATCAGACCCCCTTTTCTGACCTCCATAGGCTTTGCATGTGTGTGGTACCTATGCATTCATACTGTCAGGTCCCAAGGGAACCTGGGACAAATGGCTAACTGTGGTGCCTATTAGCATAGCACAGCGTCTCCTTGGCCTCCAGGCTCGCTCAATACCTGTGGCTCCTCTCACTTCTCCCCCTGCCTCCTACCCTGTACTTCTCTATCCCGGGGCTTTGCCCTTCTTCCCCCAGCTCTTTTTCCTATATAACCTTGCCATTTTGGCCTTGTGCTCTCTTGGTTCCTCTCGTCTCTTGGTTCTCTTTTGCTTTCTTGGCTCCTTTCTTAGTCGTCTTGCCCCCTTTTCCCCCACTCTCTTCCTCTCTAGCTTCCCCCACCCACCTCTCCTCTCATGGCTGGGTTCAGTCTGGACTCTTCCAGGTACCTCTGGCTGTACTCACCCTTGTATCTACAATAAAAATCGTTTTCTTCAACCAGACAGATGGAACGGTCATATCCTCAGTTTCACTCACATACAGGCAAAATATTCATACATGTGAATAAAAATAAATAAAGCTTTTAAGTCAGGCATGGCAACATTGGGAGAGAGAGAGAGAGACGGGGGGGGGGGGGGGGGGGGGTGGGTGTCTGAGCCCTGGAAGCCAGGTCCTGAGAACCTGACTAGGGCTGGTGAGGGAATGAAGAAAGGACAGACAGAAGGACAGAAACGCTGGGGTCAGTGGGCGGAGCATAAGCCGATAGAGTGGCACCAACTACTCACCACAGCCCAGAACCCTGGCAACTGTTTTCTACACAGCCAAGAGGGGAGATGTTAGCTGGTCTCTGTAGGAGGTCTCTGCACTGAGAAGCCTCAGGCTGTAACATCCTGGGGCTGAGGAAGCTGCACTCACTAGTTTTTGCACATCCTGCCAACATTTGTATTCAGACCCAAAGAAGAAGTAGAAGACTTTGCTCTTCCCATGGGTCTGAGGCATTGGTCCTTAACGTGGTCATGGCTATGACAACGATACACATTTACACAGGACTTCCTTTGCTCCCTGGGGCTCAGTGACCATCCAGTCCAGCCCAATTAGCAAACTCCAGGTTCATTTAGAGATGTTGTCACCCAAAAAAGAAGAATTGAGGAAGACAGCCAACACTGACCTCTGGCGCGCGCGCGCGCGCGCGCGCGCACACACACACACACACACACACACACACACACACACACACACACAGAAGCATGAGAACTTCATGTAAATGCTGTGTATACAGTAGTTATATTTTATTATTTAGGGAATAGTGGCGACAAATATGTGTTCAGTACAGACTCATCTTTCCCAGGTATTTTTCATATGTACTTGGTTGACTCCACGCACTCAGAATCCATGGATATGGAGCTCGCTTTCCCAACTACTTTGCAATTTGGGCAGGGCTCCATGGAGACAGGTGGTCCTGTCCTCCACACAGCATCAGCTGGGGCTGGCTCGAAGGCTGGAGGGTGGAATAATTTGAAGGCTGGCTGTCTCGTGTCTGGAGGTTGCTAGTGGGAAGAAGACTAAAACAGGTAGGCTAGGATGGCTGAGCTCCTAGAGCATCCATGGAGCTTTCCATAGGGCATCTCCAGCATGGTGACTTCCGGCTGGCTGACCCTTTTAACATGTCAGCCAGGGATCCTGGGAAAGCAATTTCCGGGAGAAGCTACATCGATTGCTATGACTTCCACTTTGTAAGTCTTACCACCTCCTTTCTGCCCTGTCATCGGCCCCTCCACATCCAAGGAAATGGAGTGCAGGACACCTCTTAAGAAAGGAGGGCCAAGCCAGGCAGTGGTGGTGCACGCCTTTAATCCCAGCACTCTGGAGGCAGAGCCAGGCGGATCTCTGTGAGTTCGAGGCCTCACAATGAGATCCCTGGGCTACAGAGTGAGTTGCAGGAAGGGCGCAAAGTTACACAGAGAAACCCTGTCTCGAAAAACCTAAAAAAAAAAAAAAAAAAAAAAAAAAAAACACCTAAAAAAAGGAGGGCCAAATCACACTGCTAGGACTGCGGAGGGGCTGGATTGGATCTGTCATATTTGCAAAGCAAACTCTATTTCATCCAGGTTCCAAACTCTATGTATGCATTTCAGGCTAGAGATAAGAAGGGCTAGCTCAGGAGGTAAAAGTGCTTGCCCCACACGCCCCCAAACCTGAATTTGATCCCCAATCCAGGATGGAAGGAGAAAACCAACTTCCGAAAGTTGTCCTCTGACTTCCATGCGTGCGTACACTGCAGCATAGATTCACATGGGTGTGTGCTCACGTGTACTAACAATGGAAGGGACGAGGAGATACCTCAGTTGGTAAAATGTTTGCCTAGGATGCCCAAAGCCTGAGTTTGGTCACCAGCACAGAATAAACCAGCTATGATGGTGCAGTCTGTAATCCCCACACTTAAAAGGTATAAAACGGAGGTTTAGGCAAAGTTTGAGGCCACTTAGATAGTAGCAGACTCTGTCTCAAAGCAAGCAAATAAAACATTCGATAGAAAAGCTAATTATGGGAGCTTTGAGTAAAATAATAAAACTGCAGTTGCCAATTGCAGTACTTAGGAATGTGAACGCACGTCCCTCAAAAGTGCCTTGGTTTAGGGCGGGAGTTCAAACTTCCTTTGCACTTTGAGTTGAGTTGGTGGGAAATGTGAATAGTCTACTATTACTGCCATTTCTGTAACCCCCTCTTTCTCTAAAGTGTGTGTATGTTTTGCCTACATGTATGTCTGTACACCATTTGCGTGTCTGGTATGTATGGCGGCCAGAAGAGGACAGCGGGGGTCCCACAGGACTAGAGTTACGGACAGCTGCGAACTGCTGTGTGGGTGCCAGGAATCAAACCCAGGGACTCTGAAAGAATAGCCAGTGCTCTTAACTGTGGAGTCCTCTCCCCAGCCCCAAACCCCTCTCTCAAAAAAGATTCCAAGTCATTGGAATGACATGTTTTTAACTGTTTACATTTATTGAGGGAAGGGCTACATGAGCATGTCACAACATGCATGTGGAAGTCCGAGGACTACTTACAGGAGTTGGTTCTCTCCTTCTATCCTGTGGCTCTGGGGATTGAACTCAGGTCATTTGGCTTGGCAGCAGGTACCTTAATCTACTGAGCCATCTTGATACCTTGATACCCCCCTTCAAATATTTTAAATTTCACTTATTGAATTTTTATTTATGTGCATGTATCTTTCATGTGTGCATGTGTCCAGGGAGACTGGGAGAGGGCATCAGATTCTCTGGAACTGGAATTACAGGCTGTTGTGACGAGCCTGACTTGGGTGCTTCGAACTAAGCTCAGGTCCTCTGGAAAAGCAGCGGTCATTCTCTTTTAACCACTGAGGTCGTTCTCTAGCATGGGGAATTTGTGTGTCTTGTGTGTTTTTGAAACAGTGTCTTGATATGTAGTCCCTGCTAGCCAGGAACTCACTGTATAAACCAAGCTGGCCTCTAATTCATAGACCCATCTGCCTCTTGCTTCCTGAATACTGGAATTAAAGGCATGTAGCACCACATCCATCCAAAGTATAATTTTGGAAGAACAAAAAAAAAGTAACATTTGCATTCTTTCGAAATGCCCCCGGCCACCTGCAAGCTGAAGAGGGGCCAGTATGCCTCCACACCTCCCTGGGGACCTCCCTGGGGACATTTTGTGAGACAAGTGATTAAAACTCTTACAAGTACTAAAATACAGGAGAAGTCCAGCAAAAATGACCCATAAATAAGGCTGAGGATGTGACTCGGCAGAGAGCTTGCCTAGCATACCCAAGGCCCTGGCTTTAGTTCTCAGGACTGCATAAACCAGGATCTGTGGCACACCCCTGTGATCCCAGCACTGGGGAGGTAGACTCAGGAGACCTAGAAGTTCAGGGTCATTCTCAATTACAAAGTGAGTTGGAGGCCAGCCTGATCTACATG